TACAACAAACTACAACAAACTACAACAACCAAACAAATGTAACTACAACAAACAACAACCAAACAAATGTAACTACAACAAACTACAACAACCAAACAAATGTAACTACAACAAACTACAACAACCAAACAAATGTAACTACAACAAACTACAACAACCAAACCAATGTAACTACAACAAACTACAACAAACTACAACAACCAAACAAATGTAACTACAACAAACTACAACAAACTACAACAACCAAACAAATGTAACTACAACAAACAACAACCAAACAAATGTAACTACAACAAACTACAACAACCAAACAAATGTAACTACAACAAACTACAACAACCAAACAAATGTAACTACAACAAACTACAACAACCAAACCAATGTAACTACAACAAACTACAACAAACTACAACAACCAAACAAATGTAACTACAACAAACTACAACAAACTACAACAACCAAACAAATGTAACTACAACTAACTACAACAACCAAACGAATGTAACTACAACAAACTACAACAACCAAACAAATGTAACTACAACAAACTACAACAAACTACAACAACCAAACAAATGTAACTACAACAAACTACAACAAACTACAACAACCAAACAAATGTAACTACAACTAACTACAACAACCAAACGAATGTAACTACAACAAACTACAACAACCAAACCAATGTAACTACAACAAACTATAACAAACTACAACAACCAAACAAATGTAACTACAACAAACTACAACAAACTACAACAACCAAACAAATGTAACTACAACAAACTACAACTAACTACAACAACCAAACAAATGGAACTACAACAAACTACAACAACCAAACAAATGTAACTACAACAAACTATAACAAACTACAACAACCAAACAAATGTAACTACAACAAACTACAACAAACTACATCAACCAAACAAATGTAACTACAACAAACTACAACAAACTACAACAACCAAACAAATGTAACTACAACAAACTACAACTAACTACAACAACCAAACAAATGTAACTACAACAAACTACAACAACCAAACAAATGTAACTACAACAAACTACAACAACCAAACAAATGTAACTACAACAAACTACAACAACCAAACAAATGTAACTACAACAAACTACAACAAACAAACAAAAAAAAGCTGTTGATATATCGGGATAGATATCTGTTTTGATTTGATTGATCCTCTAACATGATGTGGACAGTGGCGTAGCTAGAGTGATAGGTGCCCGGTGTGGCCCTCCTTTTGTGTTCAAAATAATGTGTATTCATTGTTAAAGTATTACTTATTCGCAAAAAAAATCAATTTTGCAACAAATTTCTACAAATCAATCTTACATGCTTTTTTTGCTGACAATACTATCAATAGTTTGTCGAAATTACATTTACACTAATTTATTTCATTGAACAGCATGTACAGATTGGTTAGTCGTAAATTTGTCGCTGATCACAAGTAATTCTTCTTCAACTTTAGTTTAGAAAAGCTTCGCTTGCATGCACTAACAATTATCGCAATTGTTAGAAATATGCGAATTTAGAAAACTATATTCAAAACTTAATTTTCTAGCCAATATTTTTTTAAATTCATAAAAGACAAAATTCTAAAAAGATATAGACGCTAGAAGCACTATCGATAGTGTTTAATAGTTCGAATGTATCTGTCACATCATGAAGATGAAGCCAGTATTGTACAGAATAAAATAATTAAAAAAAACCCACTTCACTTTGTCCGTCATTAAAAAACCAGCGTGTTGAACAACGAAGTAACAACATGTACCACGTGGATAGGAAGTATGTAGACACGTAAAGGTGCTTTGCCTTTAGAGATTTAATCAAGTCTTGTACATTTTATTCAAACAAGTTTACTTCCTACACTTAATTTGAATATAATATAGCGAAATAAATACATTTTTAGTTTACTTTTCAAATACATTAGTTTGTTTATGTTTGTCTAATGTGATGTTTTTACTGAAAAGTTCAGGGGAATAAAAACTTAATACGTACTGGGGGGGGGGGGGAAGTTTGATGTCCTTCACCACTTGATGCTTAGTGTGAATCGCACCACCCGGCACATTGTCAAGTATGCTTCTGGACTGAAAGTGCTATGTAAGAAACATAATATAAACATAGGGGTTGCATTGGCAAAATAACCTAAATAAGTTTTGATCATTTTGAAGGATCCCCCAGCAGAACATCCATCTATCCATCCATCCATCCATCCCAGTGGTGCTACAGAAAATAAAGGGCTCTGGCCTGTTTCAACACATCCCTCCATTCAGATCTCTCCTGGACCTTTCGTCTCCATGCCCTAATCCCTAGCTGTTGTAGATCTGCCTCCACATCATCAATCTATCGCAATCGGGGTCTGCCTTTGGGTCGCCTGCCTTTTGGTTTTGCCTGTATACCCAGCAGATCGTAGCAAAACCTATTACTGTACATAATGGAGAGCGCCATGGTTCAAAACTTTTTTTTTGTGGACACGCAGCGGTATATGAGAGAATATGTCTTTTGGCAGAAAACGAAATTGCAAGCATGAGTTAGATTCCTTTACTTCTTGTTCCCACGCACAAGTCGTTCAGTTTCCTCATAAATGCTGACAAGTCTTTCTACAAAATTAGTTAGGACAGATGATGGTTAAGGTCATCTGTTTCTTTGGCCAAAGGTTAAAGACTGCATCAGAAACGAAGAGATTAGAGACAGGATTACTACAGCGATTGGACCACACGACGAACTGCTAACTATTGCAAAAAAAAACAAAAAAAACGCAAACTAAAACTCTATCGCCATATGACAAGGTCTTCAGGGGCTCGTAAAGACCTTCCTTCAAGGAACAGTACCAGGAAAAAGAAGAATAGGCAGACAGAGAAAGCGATGGGAATAATAATAATAATAATAATAATAATCTTTATTGTCCGTGTGGAAATTTGTCTTACAATTTGTGCATTACACCAAAACAAAAAACATTATAACTATAAGAAACCAAAGTGTATATTCACACCAGACTCACTCATAATGTACATGTGACAAAGTTTATACCAGATTGTTCCTATTTAATGATTTGATTGCCAGGAGAACAAAAGAGAGTTTGTGTCTGTTTGTCTTTGCTATCGGTGTCTTGTATCTTTTTTGTGATGGTAAAATCACAAACTCCTGACACAAAGGGTGATTCTTTATTTCGAGGATCTTGTTAGCTATTTTATAGATGTTTGTCTCAAACAATTGCCCAAATGGGGTTTGTTTTTTTGCCAATGATTTTACCAGCAGCATTTAGGATTCTATAAAGTTTATTTTTATTTTTAATGCTTAGATTGCCATACTAGGCAGTGATATTGAAACTTAAAATATTGCAGATGTGAGCGTGATAAAACATAGCCAAGGCCTTTTCACTAACATTAAACGAGGACAGTAATCGTAATCTTTGCTGCCCTTTTTGCTGATATAATCAGTATTTGTAGTAAAATTTAGTTTATTGTCTAGGGAAGACAACATAAAAGAATGAACGGGCCTACCATTGAAAGTGGTTCTATCCAAAGCAAAAGACAAAGAGGATTGGAGAAAGTCGGTAGAAAAATCTTGCGTGGTGCCCCAACGGTCCAACAGACTCAGTTATATGAGATGGTGAAGGTGAAAGTAACGAGCAGGGTGTCATGTGACCAGTACAATGACCAAGCCCATTTACTTTCCTCAACTAAAGTCAGGTACCCTTTAGAGTTTGATGGTCTCAGTGGCACCCTAAAAATCAAAAAATTTAAAATCTTAGTCTTCACTTAGATGCGAACCCAGAACCCCATGTTTAAAAGCCAAGCGTTTAACCACTCAGCCACTGCGCTCCCATTCTACAAAATTACGCATGAGTACAACAGATAAAGACATCCTATGTAATGAGTTTCCTTGTAGAATTAAAATGAAGTTGTTTTTTTTTTAGGGAGAGATAGAGAGAGGGGGTGTACAGAGGAAAACGATTTAGACAGAGGAAATGTATTACTTAAAACACTTGAAATTGTCATAGTTAAATTAAAATATCTTCTTTTAAAAAATTGGGTGTATAACATTTTGTGGTATTATTGCTAAACTAATTTTAGGACTTACTTCGTGACTTAAATACAAAAGACGAGGACCACTGGACTGAGTGATTAATTCGGGGGAGGGGGGGGGGGGAAAGTCACGTTAATTTTGTCCTATCTTTATGCCATTTTTGGGTCATGTATTTCTCATGTTTATTTCTCATGTTTATTTGTCATGTTTTTGTGTAATTACTTTCTGTCGTGACCTTTTTTTTTCATCTCTCTTGTCATAATGTGTAATGACTTTTTGTCATGTCATATGTTATATTTCTGTCATGTCTTTTTGTCATCTGTTTTGTCATGTTATTGAACTACGTGCTCAATGTTTACAGTTGATAATCCGAAACAAGCCAAAATATTATTATTCTTAATCTGTGTATGTTCATGTAAAGTCAAGTAAAGTTCCTTTGTCAGACCTTGTGGTCTAAATGACAGATGATGTGAAGGTCATCTGTTTCTGTGGCCTACGGTTAACGAGGGTGTCATGTGGCCAGCACAACGACCAACCGCCTTTACTTTTCCCCAAACTAATGTCAGGTACCCATTAGAGCTGGGTGAACTCAGAGGCGCCCGAAGATCCCGAAATTTAAAATCCCGGTCTTCAACAGGGTTCGAACCCCGGATCTCGGTTCAAGAGCTAAGCGCTTTCGCCTCCGTATGTTGAAGTATTGTAGAAAAAAAAAAGATTTTTAATTTGATTTTAATATTGTAATTGTAACTAATTTTGGCAAAGTAATTTAAACCACGTTTAGGTTGCATATTGTATGATGAAATGTAGTTTAGTTTGTTTTTTCATGTAGATGATTGTGCGTGAAGCAAATGCTGAAAATTCTCAGAACATTCTAATGAGATATAAGTCGTGTTACAGTATACAATCACCAACTAACTAACGAATATTCAGATAACAGAAAACAATCACTACTTCAGATGAACGCATTTTATTTCCTCTGTTAAACCAAAACTAATAGAATGTAACTCCAAAAAAGTTGTTGTTTTAATTTCTATTTTATATTTTTTCACCGCGACTAAAAATTGTACATAAATTATTTATAGGATTTTCAAAGAAAAATATATATATAGACAATCCGATGCTACTGATTGGAATGTTGTAACCTGCAAAAATATTTAAAGTTTTATTTTTTAGCATTTTGAATAGTTATATTTTATCGTCATGGCTTCAAGTTTGTAACTTAGAAGGGAAGCAAAGAAAATAAATTAAAATCATTTGTGGTTGTAAAAAAATGTAAAGATTTAAATTTCTTGTTGTGACGATAAAAGCAAAAAATCTAAACAAAATATGCAAACTATAATAACAATAGCGCTATGATTTGCATAGAAGTTATTAGTTATACACTAGAAATTTATAACAATTTCAAGTATTTACCTAATCAGATTTAAAAATGCCTTTGAGAAACCTTTTCTATTACATAAGTAGAAACAATAAACGATATACAATAGTTACATATTTAAAGACAGCAATTATAATGTATTTTCGTATATTAAAAATAGTTTTAGTACTTCAAAGGACAGTGCAATTCAGTGCAAAATAATAAATTAGGAAATTATAGCACAAGCATTTCTCAAAGACAGAAATTTTCATATTTTAAATATATTTTAGTATATCAAAGGTCAGTGCAATTAAAATATATATATATTGATATATATATGTGAAACAGTCATAACAGTCAACATTACAATAAATAAAATTCATTTAGAAGTTAACCAAAAAAAATAACACCCAAAGGGAAAAGCGATCAAAGATGAAGGACAACTCCACTCACGGTACACAGTACACGCACCTCTTGACATTACCGTATTAGCGACTGTGCTTTTGTTACGATTTAAGGTAATAATACTTTCATAATGAAAATCCTCCAACCCTATGAATACCGTTACCTTTATCATCACTCAATCAATTCAATCAACTCCTCGACAAAGTGAAGAAGATATAGAATAATCAAAGCTCGTTTAGGATTATGTCAAGATGGTCCGTTGTGGTCGCTATGGTTACAGAAAGCAAGAAAGAATTAAAACACACACACACACACAAAACCACCTTAAAAGAATATTCTAAGCAATAAACATAACAACTTTCATACATACAGAAAGAGAAAGGTGGCTTAGCGCTTGGCTTCGAGATTTTTTAGGGCGCCTTTGTCACATGACACCCTCGTAAACAGTGGGCCATAGAAACACATGAACTTTAGCCTATAATTGCAAGGTTGATATCTCTCTCTATATATATAATGACAAAAGTTAAAGTATTTTTTAATAGCTGTTAAACATTTATAAAATAAAAAAAAAATAAAAAAATAAAAGCTTTGCTACATCCGAAATGTTCAGCATTTGGTATGGTTTTATATGTACAGCAAACTAACCTATGTAAGCAATATTTAGATCCTCAGAGTTCGAAATTTATATAGATATAGATCTAGGTGTTTTATACAAGTATAAAAATATAGAAACAAAAATAATTTTATAACATCAACAATGCAACAACATTGTCCATTACAATCAGATACATAAAATAAAACAAAATATACTTTCAGACGCATATCCTAAGGCAATGTCATTATATTCATTCATACAAATAATACAGACCATATGTAAATTATTAATGCCATTCTTAATCAGAACTATTCATTATATAAAATGAACACATGTTTCAATTTTTGGAAATCCTTATACCAATCATGGCTTATCAATCAAAACGCTGTTCTTAGAGTAGCCAGCACAGTTAAAAAAAAAAATAGAGAGTTTAAAAGGGAGATAACTTTGTTTTGCTTTGTCTCTCTCTCTCTCTTGTCCCCCCCCCCCCCACCCCTTCCTGAAAGTATACCCTGAAAATGACCCGACTGTGCACTCTAAAAATGAGATAAACATCTGTCCCTTGATCTAAATACCTGATTTTATGTTTTCAAGTATCTGCCTTATAATGTTGAGAGATAAACATCAAGAATGATGGAAGTAAGTAGTCTATTAATAGGCATATCAAAGGGAAGCAATTAGTTACTTGCAATATTGACAAAACAGAAGTGCCCAATCAATACCACCGTCAAACAGGCAATGAATTTATTAGGGATATTCATCTATGACAGAAAAACAACAAAAAAAAAACCAAAAAAAAACACAAATAGAAAGAACTGCTGACAAGCTATGTTTGTTTTAAAAAGGTTTTGTAATAACTATTGTGCACCTTTTAGCACCGCAAAATTATATTTGGTTAGCTCTTCCGTCGTTAAGTTTTTGAAATTTAGCAGTATTCATATGATTTATCTTTGGCGTTTCTTGGGCTTGTTTACCTTATCGAGAAAATCTCCAATACAATCAACATTGAAGAGTATTTTTGAATTATCAGGCTAGTGTACTTTATAAGACTACTTTCGATTGAATATCGGAACTTTGAGGACATGATAACTAGAAACTTTGGCACAACACCGCTAGACATTCAGTGTCGTCTCCACGTATTCGGTAATTATGTTCATTTGATCGTCTTCCTCTTTCTGCTGCTTCATCCTCTGGTGTTTCGCCCAGCGCCACGTTAAGACGCCTATGACTACGGCGCCGACAACTACAGCTGAGACGACGCCTATGATCAGTGGCAACAGCTCCTTCATGCCAGAGCCCTCGTCTCCTCCGTGGACCTTTCCGGCGGAGGCGTTGCTCCCTGATGGTTCAGTCGTCGACGTCTTTTCATCGTCGTCATGGTCGTCGTCGGCGTCCGACGTTTCGTTGTCTAGCATGTCAACCAGTTGAGAAGTGGTCCTTTCAACTTCCTCTTCGTCTCCTTCATCATCGCCGTTCTGGCTCGGTTTTAGCCCGTTCATATCGGTGTAATCCTTTTCGGTTTCGTCAGCTTCTCCAGCATCCGTGGTGTTCGGAGTCACGGAGTCCCCTGGGACATCAGGGGTCAGATTGTTCTCTGTCTCTGGAGTAAACTCGCCTGAAGGTGACACTGTCCTTGGCCCTGATGTCTCAGCCGTTTTGGGTGAAGCAGCTTCCGATGTTATTTCTGATTTCTTTTCACTTGTGACTTCAGCCGTGGATATCGAAGCTGTTGTTGTTATTGAGGTGGACATTGTGGTAGTTCTTGGCGTACTAGAAGACGTTGTGATGGTTTTTAAGGTGGTCGACATTGTTTTGGGTGCTAAAGTAGATACAGTGGTTCTCACTGTGGTTGAAAGTGTCATTGGGGTAGAAGACTTGGTGCTCAAAGTGGTGGGCCTAGTTGTGCTAATGAAAGCTTTTGTCGTTGCTGTGGATGGCTTGGTAGTAGACATAGTTGTCTGCCTTGTAGACCTGGTGCCCTTAGGAGTTGTTCTTATTGGTTTAGTTACTGCTTGAGTCAATGCTGATGTAACAGCTGTGCGTCTTGGCGAGCTTTTCGCATAGACAGTTGTAAATGAATCATTGAGAATAACATGGTCAGTACTGTTGGAAACCTTGCCTGAAGAATGCAAGATTGGGAAAGAAAAAGAAAGAGTCTATCTATCTATCTATCTATCTATCTATCTATCTATCTATCTATCTATCTATCTATCTATCTATCTATCTATCTATCTAATCTATCTAATCTATCTGTCTATCTGTCTATCTATCTATCTATCTAATCTATCTAATCTATCTGTCTATCTAATCTATCTAATCTATCTGTCTATCTATCTATCTATCTATCTATCTATCTATCTATCTATCTATCTATCTATCTATGCGTAATTATTAAAAAAGTCACCTACTTCTACAGTCTGTTACCACAATATCGTCTATTGCGATATCACTTAGCCAACTCTTTTTCATTGTCGCTTGAAAAACAAACTGTGGAATATTTAAAGTAAGCGCTTGCTTTTAACATAGTCAAAAAAACAACAATTATTAACAACAACAACGGTTTGTTTACATTGATGATCTTACTTGCAACTCATTCTGACCCTTCCTACGATAGAATTAATTACATTTTGGGTCGATGCCACGGGTGACTGAATGAGGCAGAAGCTCTTCTTGAAAGCTAAAGTTTAAATCTTGGATTTTAAAATATAATGCAAAAATAAAGGAAAAAAATAAATAAAAATAAAAAAGATTTGATTTGAACGATACTGTCTTGAATTAATTTGGCGTCTGGACTACCAGGCAATAACAGGTGGGTGAGTGCGTAAATATCTATCAAAAATACAGGACAAATAACAAAAAATAGTTAAAAAAGAACAAAACCTGTCTATAAGTAAAGAGCTCAAGATGTACGGTTATATATATCTTAACAGTGTACGATTGATTACCCTTTACGCTATCAATAAGAATATTAATATCCACTATTTACTTAACTAATTGGGTATTTTTTTCCTTGATTAATGTGATGTCATCGACAATAAATAATTGAGCAAAGTTTCAACTTTATCCGAAAATGGGAAGATGGAGAAATTACATTATACAATTGATACAAGACACATTTACTATGGTACACATCCAGCGATCGATGTAGGTTTAGTCAAGAAGTTAAAAGTAATGTATAAAAAATCATTTCGATTTTAAATGGATGATTCTCCTGTTGGTCACTCAAAACAATTCATGCACATTTAATGTCTGTTATGACTCTGTATAACTATAGATAATAAGGCAACTGGATAATTTTATAGACTTAACAAGATGACATTACCTGGACTGGTTCGGTGACTTGCGGCACGATGACGTCAGCTTTTATCCAGCTATCTCTCTGGTTCCCAGTTTTGTAAAATATTTGATGGTCAGTGTCTAGCGCAATAGTAGGTATTTTCTGTGGCCTTACATATACTTCCAAACTGCCAACATCTGTAAAATAGAAATATTTACATACACAATTAGATTTTTTAAAGTTTCACCAGACTTCGACATTTGTCAACACTGGCAAAGGCACGAATCTGGCGCCTAAAAAAGAAAGCTTTAAGCAGAAAAGCTCGTTAACCTCGAAAAGAAAAATTCTGAATTTAAACCTCAGTTTGCGGCTAAACCCGTACATGGAAAAAGCTTTCAAAGTCAACTTTGTGGGAAAATTGTGGAGACGGTAACCCTTAGGGAGAACGCCGAAAACTGCTAGACTCAACAGATCCTAGGACGCTGCTTGATGTCAAACTGTGTTGGCTATTGCCGTTCCTTTGAACCCAACAGTGGCGTGGCGAAGGGGGTGCTGTATGGGTGACCCCCCGGCATCTTGGTTTCCACGAGTTGAGCTAAAGGTCGTCCTATGACTGAAGGAGGTCAATAAATATTCACAATACAGGGCCGGCCTTAGGCCACTGCAACTTATGCGGCCGCAGTGGGCCCCGCACTTTCATAGGCCCCGCGCAAATTCTAGGCATAAATTATTAAATTAAGCCATGATAACTTATAACAGGGTTCTTCCGCCTCTTGATTTTCCAGGAGCTTCTGGTAATCTCCTGAAATTATTAATATCTGAAAACTCTTAAAAATGTCCTTAAAAAAATGGACAAAATTGTCATTTTGGGGTGTCATTCAATAAACGCCAATACTACACGCGATAAAAAGATAACGGCTTTGTGTCAGCTTTCATTTAATAAAAATGTAATGCAAAGACGAATTTACTTTTTAATACAAAATCGTAATTTTTACTTATTATCTTTCCATGACTAGGTCGCTCGCAATCCATTTCGCATAGGACCCCAAAATTGTTAAGGCGGCCCTGACCTGGAACCCTCACCAACATGCAAGATTTAATGAATTATGATCAACTCATCACGGGATGTCACTAATATACAAAAGAATACAAAAGAACTATTTAAAATGTAATTCAATCCTCTGTAGTGTACTATGCAAGGAGACAGGTTCTGATTATTCCTTATTTTTCGTGTCAAAGTTCACACTGTTTAATTTGCTTAATAAATATATATTTTTTTATATTTCAAATAAAAATAATTACTACAGACGTATCTTAGAAATTAAGAACGTTTCGTCCCATATGTATAAATGCATTCACCTAGATTTAACCTTATAAATCTATTTCATATATGAATTAGAAGCATTAAAGAACACACCCAACGTATACATATAATAGAGATTAGCCTTCTTTTTTATAAAGCGTTCATGAGTGCAACGCATGGTTGTGAACAGTCCAAGAGAGCTTATCATCTTTTGTTTAAGCAACATGTTAAAATCAAGATTACCTCGCCTACATATAAAAAGCCAACATCGGCTCAGTACATAAACGGAAACATAATATCCATTAATTACGTCATCAAAAATTAAGCTCGTTATATTGAAAGGTTAACTCCCTCTAAACTTACTGTTCTCTCCCTCCTCCCCATACATGTGATAGTAGAACTCTAGACATTTGTTTTGCAGAGACTCCACGTTGTAGAACGGAGAGAGGAACCTCGCCTTGTGACCAGTGGTCTGTGGCGCTGAAGACTCGACAAAAAGGTAATGACCTGCGTGGGTAAGACAAATAAAGGTAATTTTAATCCTTATTTCTAGGCTAGATACAAAGGTCATTTAATCCTTATTTCTAAGGTAGACATAAATGGTTATTTAAGTCTTATTTCTATGCTAGACAAAAAATGTTATGATAAATAACATTTGGAATAGGGCCAACTGTTTAAGGATACATCCATTCAAAAATAGTGTTTAACGTTTCAAAGGTTGTCACGACCAGGGGGTGGCAACGGGGATAAGTTCTGACTTTCTATAAAACACTTTTTAAATGCATGCGTCTATGATAGCTTCTAACCTGACATGCTCTTGTGGCTGAGATACTTATCCAGGCGAAACGACTCTTACTAACTTGTGAAATGTGAAAGTGGATACCGTTCACCTTAAGACCTAGAGGTAATTGAACCTT